TTGTAAATACTGAATATTCATTGACAGGAACTGGCCGAGTTCATTATTTCACACTCTTCACCTGCACTCTGGGATGGCAAGCTTTCCCTCAGCATTTTAACTGACGACCCACCCAGCCACCCAGTCTCATCCAACAATTAATAACAACAACAAATTACACTTGTATAACACTTTTCATGTCGCAAAGACAGTCAGAGCTTTTGGGCTCGAGCTGGGAGTTTGGGGTCAGGAGGGATGCAGGGCAGTGGGGTGGGGATAGTAGTGAGGCCAATCGCACGATAGAAGAGGAAAGTCTTTAGATGGGACTTGAAAGAGGCAAGAGAGGGGTGAGGTGGCTGTATTGCGGGATAGAGTTCCAGAGGGTGGGAGCTGAGATTCTGAATGCCCGACCACCAATGGTGGGGCAGGAAGTACGGGGGAGGTCGAGCGGAGTGGTTGACATAGGATTAGGAGGTCGGAGAGGAGAGTTGGGAGTTCATGTCAGGAAGGGTGCAGGGCAGGGAGGTGGGGGTAGGAGTGTGGCCGAAGGCCTATGGGAGCAAGACCGTGGAGTTAATCAGAAGCAAACTCAAATGTGTATATTATGACTTGTTTATTTCATTGCGTTATAAAAATTATATATTGATAATTAGAAGAACAATAAGGATTGAGAGATACACAGATCCAGGCTGCACTTTAGAAGGCAAGCTCAGAAGCTTATCCCAATCTTCACATATCACTTTCAAGCAGGATTTTAGACAAGGCAGACAAGGTAATTAGAAAACTATATTGCTAGTGAGAATCTTTGCTGATATTTGTTTTTGGTAAGCACAATTAAAATCATTTCAAATGAACTTTAAACATAAGGCAATCTTTTTTCTAGAGTTTTTCTGTGTGTTGATTTGCTTTTTTTTAAATCTTTCCTTAAACATTAATATATATTAGTGCTGATCCAAGCATAGTTTTCCAATAAAGCATTTGCTATTACTTATACAATAATGATAATAATGATTTGTTCATTTGATATAATAATGCTTGCATTTGATATAGCGCCTTATCACATCTTCGAGTCGTCTCAAAGCGCTTCACAGAATATACTGTAAAGTGAATTGACTGTATATCTGTCGGCGAAACGCGGCAGCCAATTGCGCACAGCAGTGTCCCACACAGTTGTGGATTGAGTGACCGATTTTTTCTTTAAGAAATTCAGAGGTCTCAAAGTGCTTCACAAGTATATACTGTAAACTGGTGTGATTGTTTGTTGTGGGTGAACAACATTTGCACATAGCAACGTTCCTCCCAAAAAATGAATGCAAATTTCAGCCCTGGCCAAGTGATTATTGTGAAGAATGGGAATAGAAAAAACAGCTGTGTTGAGTTCAGATAATAGTAGTTTTTACATTTCTTGTACACCCACACCAAAAAATAAAGTATGTACTCAAAATGTGTGCTGAGATTTAAAGAAAGTTTTATCAAAAAATATTGCATTATTCTGCAAAAAGTAATCATAAAAAATTATCACCTTTTTTAGCTATAGAAATAATTCTGCGCTTTTCTTTAACCAAGGCTGGGTATTAGTATCTACACAAATGTACATAGATTTTACAGCACGGAAACAGGCTATTCAGCCCAGTCTGTGCCAAAGTTTATACTCCACATGAATCTTCACACATGCCTTGCTCCCGGCCACACCCTTCTATTTCCTTCTCCCTCATGTGTATGTCTAGGTTCCTGTAGCTAGACTATCTGATTCTTGAAACATAGAAACAGGAGGAGGCCATTCAGCTCATCGAGCCTGTTCCACCATTCTGTGAGATCATGGCTGAACTGTACCTCAAGTCCAATTATCTGCCCATGTCCCATATCCCTGAATAATGACCTTATTCATCTATCAACCTCATTCTTGAAAATGTGAATGGATCCAGCCATAATCCACAGCCTTTTAAGGGAGAGAGTGCCAGATTACCACTCCTCTTTGGGTAAAAAATCACCTCCTGATTTCACTCCTAAATGGCCTAGCTCTAATTTTAAAATTATGCCCCCTTGTTCTGGATTCCCCCACACACCAGAGGAAATAGTTTCTTTTTTTGAATTACGCATTGTCACTCTCCTAACTTTTCTTTTAGATCACTATCAGATGTCCACAATTTAAGATTGCCCAGAATTGTGAAATTCGCTTCTATTTAAGAACATTGGAAAAAACATCTAACTTAAATGAATTGTAGGTTTATGTTTTCCATGCTTCTGAGCAATCTGAAAATTTAAGACAATAGTTCTTACAAACGAAAGCTACATTTTGGTCCAAGATTACTGTGACCTATATCAGCTATATCAACTGGAAATATTTAACAAGCAGAGGCTTAAAATGTAAGTGTAGATTTCAAAACTCTAGCTATCACAGTGATGAGATATCCAGCACAGGATCGGACATGTGGAAATTCAGATTGCAGCATAAAAACTTTTTTAATTTTTGTCAATTTTAAAATCTAGCGATTTTCATGTTGAAAAGTAACAAAAGAAAATGTTTGCTTCATTTGAAAATTACTAAAATATTTTACGTAACTTATTTGAATACACAAAATTGTTCTGTATTTTTGCTATATCAATCAGCCTAAATGTTGGAAAGCAAGTCTTTTATGCAACGTGTTTTTTGATATGGTGCTCATTTAACACAGGCTGAGTAATTATTATAGTATAGTGTATATTTATGGATCGTATTAAATTACATTTTTTTGTATGTGATATGTACACGTACAAATGTATACACTATGGTGCACCTATATGCATATTTTAAGATTGTAGGAGACCCTATAATTGTTTGCAAATCCATATATATAGAAGTTATGATGTAACAAAGCTAAGATGTTGTACATGACCGTTAGACATTAATCATAGCGATCAGCTTGACAAAGTGTACTTATACTGCACTTTCTGGACATTTATCAAACCCTGTTCCTGAACTCAAGTTGGAGATTGTAAGGAAGTCCAAACTTCCCTTTGCAGAAACAAACCTTCCTGTGAAAAAGCTAAATCACATGTATTTACACAATGGATAGTGATTAGTTTCTGTGTTAGATATTTAAAATAGTTGCCAAAAAGAGTCGGAGGTGAGGAGAATTTTTTTTCACAGAGTGAGATGTTCGGATCTGGTATTCATTGCCTGAAAGGGTGGTGGAAGCCAATTCAATAACAACTATAAAGAGAGAAGTAGACAGACATTTAAGGACAAATTTGCAGGGCAAAAGGGAGAGCTCGGGGGAGTGGGATTAATTTGGACAGCTCTTTCAAAGAGCTGTCCATGGACATGATGGTCGAATATCCTCCTCCTGTTCTGTATAATTCTATGATTCTGTGACCCACAAAGGCTTACATTGAGTTGACAGAACTGTGTCTTTAAGACTGAATTGACAACAGTTTCCAGAAAGGTTCCTTTGAAATATGTTGAAGTAGAAATTAAGACACTTGTTCCTGAATTGAAACTGAATTATTATATTGCTTCTTCTAGATTAGATTTGAATACAAAATAGGTGTTAAACAAAATTACATGGTCTTGTCTGTAAAGTGGTAGAGATTATCTAGAATATTGGAGTGTGTGTCTTCCTGTGTATACAGTTTTACGTGTACATATTCATATTCATATACATTATATCTTACATTCAAAATGCTGACAGAAAGTTGAGTTAACAACAATAGATAAGAACATGCAAGCCAGCCCAGAGTTCGCTGTGATGTTCAAAGTTTTGTTGTTAATCCACATTAGTCTGCAGTTTTCCATTTATTACCAACCCTTTATCAGATCCAAATTGCACAATGTGATGATATCTGAATGGTATTTACAATCAACTGATAATGGAAAAAGGCACTCTGAATCATTGCAGTTTACATAAAAGTATAGTACTGATGTGGTAAGAATTTGAGATTCTGTTCCTTATACCTGCGCTACCTAAAGGCCTCATTTCATTCCAGTCATGAAACCCCTGTGGATCTGAAGCTGAGAAAACAGTTGATCTTCATTTTACAGTATCTAACTACGGGGAAAAACGATTCACAACTGCTTTATTTTACTGATATATTACTGCGCATATATACACAAAAATAGTGCAGATCATATTTTACTGTAAATATATCCATAAGTATATTTTTTGAACCATTGCAGATAATTAAATAACATGCAGTTAAGTTATTCAGTGCTGTTTGTTTGCCAACAGATATGTTTTTTTGAAGAACATATACTTATTATACCATCTCAGATCTTGTTACTGAAAAGGGCAACTTTGAAACAGCCCAAAATTGTCTCACATTATTTAAGTTATATTGCAACATTATGTTTTTAGCTGAAAAAAATAGCTTTTCTACCAGCTGTTGCTTATAATAAAATGGTTTGACATTTATTATAGTTAAAGGTGGGACAAAGCTGTCAAGGAAGCAAATGAAATCCTAGCCGTATAGAACATTAAACTAATGCTGAATTTATGTAAATCGTTAGTTAGACCTCAGAATATTGTGTGCAGTATTAGTTACCCCACTTTAGGAAGGATGTCAAGGTTATAGAAGGGGTACGGAGGAGGTTTACTAGGGTGATACTGCGGATGAGTGGTTTGGCCTATAAGCAGAGAATGGAGCAAATGGGACTTTTTCTGCAGGAATAAAGAAGGTTGTTGAGAGGTGACTTGATTGAGGTCTTTTAAGTTCCGACGGGATTTTGATAGTCAATAGGCAAAATATTTCCACTGGTTAGTGAGTCAGTGACAAGAAGGCATCAATTCAAGATAGTGAGCACACGGGAAGGTTAGGAGAATGTGGTTAGGATTATGGAATACCCCCACGGGAATGGTGGTTGAGTGGTGATCTGTATAGGGAACTAGATAGACAAACGAGTAAACAACAGTGGTGTGGGGAAAAATGCAGGTAAATAGGAGTGTTTGCAAAAGGGATTAAGGGATATGGGGATAAGGCAGGGTCAGGTTATTAGCTGGAGTTAGATTAGAAGATCAGCCATGATTGAATGGCGGGGCAGGCGCGAAGGGCCGAATGGCCTACTCCTGCTCCTACATGTTATGTTATGCTCCTAAGAGAGCCAACATAGGGATAATGGGCCAAATAATAATAATAATTCTTGCATTTGGTATAACGCTTTATCACAACTTCAAGATGTCGAAAAGCGCTTCATGTAATATATTTTAAAGTGTAGTGACTTTATATTTTGTGGGTGAAAATAGTCTTATTCTGTGCTGTAAATTTATGCTTCTACTTGAGGCTGGAACTTATGTGCAGGGATACAAAGCATTGGCACTGCAATGTAAAGATAACAACATAAACTATAGTGCCTTTCCACCACTTTAAAAACATTTAACATAAAAGAAAAATAAAGATATGATACATTCTTCCCATTCATTTGCAACAGTTTTTCCTGTTAATTTGTGCAGTTCGTCAAAGTTACGATATTGGGCATTTATGATGCACAATAGAATTTTGCTAAAGGTTGGTAATAAATAATTATTTTTAATTAAATTATGTTCAGCCTTTGTTTTACTGAATCACTTGAATTTCAATTCAGCATAATCTGTCTTATTATCATTAATTGCTGCCTTCGGGGCCGTTGCACCTCCTTGAAGAAGATGAGGTTGGGCATAAACAATTTCATTGTCTCGGTTCTGAAAGGAGAATAAATAGTATTTTACATACACACAAATATACATATATATATACACACACTGTTTGGATCAACTATAGTACACAAATCGTAGCAAAAGGTTTGTTCTCCAAATACACAATGAATCCTCTTTAATCTTGTGAAACGCTTGAGATGTCCTCCCAAAGTGAAAGGCGGCACATCAAACATAAAGATTATTGTTATGAAGTTATTCAAGTGGTGTGTGCGGAAATATGGCAGTTTGTTTGGTGTTTAAGATTCTGATGTGGAGTTCCTCAGGACTCTGACCTTACTCCCCTTCAACATCTATATGCTCCTCCTGGTGACATCATCCGCAGACATGGGGTCAACTTCCACATGTATGCGGATGACACCCAACTGTATCTCTCTGCCTCCACCCTCGACTCCAGGACCACTGTTGACCTGACAGAATGTCTGTCGGACATCAAGTCCTGGATGAAAACTAACTTTTTTCAGTTGAACATCAAGAACGAGGCTCCTGATTGGCTCCCGTCAGCACCTGTACACCTCACTCGCTGACAGCATCACCATCCAAGGATGCTCACTCCACCTTACTGAGCCAGTCCAGAACCTTGGCGTCTTGTTTGACCCTCAACTATACTTTCTCCCCCATATCCGCTCTGCCTTTCCTCAACTCCGCAACATCGCCCGGCTATGCCACTGTCTCACACCGCAGGCCGTCAAAACCCTCATACATGTATTCAAAACATCGAGGCAAACTCCTTGCCTGTTGGCCTCCCCAACTCTTCCCTCCATAGGCTGCAGATCATCCAGAACTGTCCTTTCCCCCACCAGGCTCTGTGGCCCTATCACCCCCATCCTCGCCCGACTCCACTGGCTTCCCATCACTCAATTCAAGATCCTGGTCCTCACTTTCAAAGTCCTCCATAGCCTTGTGCTCCCCCTAACTCTGTGACCTGCTAACCTACCAACCTCCCATTCTCTCCGCTCAGCGGGTTCCGGTCAGCTTCATGTCCCCTCCCCACCATTGGCGAGTGGGCCTTCAGCCCCTCTGCCCTCACACTCTGGAACTCCATCCCACAGTCCCTCTACCTCACCACCTTCAATACAAATGTAATTTTGTTGTTGTGTCAGCCTGGTTCAGTTTCTAGATCTCTTGCCTCTGAGTTACAAGATTGTGGATTCAAGCTTCAATCCAATTGTAACCCGTATAGTCAAGCACATAATAATAATAATGATAGACATGCCAGTGCAGTGCTCGGCGTGTGCTGCATTGTCGAGTTGCTATCCTTCGGATAACAACACAAACAGTCAGGGATCTGCGCCCAAGCTGGTGGTTGGGATCAGGGGGTGGATAGGATGGGGGTAGGAGGGTGACTGGAGGCGCGGTTGGTCAAACAGGATGGTCTTGAGATGGGTCTTGAAGGAGCAAGGGAAGGGAGGCGGAAGTCTGTGGGATGGAGTTCCAAAGGGTGGGGGTAGAGAGGCTGAACCGACTGAGCTAACTATTAAGCAGTTTATCAAAATAATAGGTAAAAAGAAAGAGAATTCATGTGTCTTACCGCTGTGGCTGTATTGGCTCCACTGTTAGATTGATGCGGTGCTGTAAGACAAAAAATACATGTTATTGGACAAAGCAGCATTCATAGGAAAGTGTGGGTTTACAGTGAAGACCTGTTTCTTTCAGACGGACTTCCTATTTTCTCACAGGAACAAAAGGGTTCATATCACAGAGATTTTCACAGTCAACATTGAGTAAATGACAGACAAACTGTGCTCATGGAGTTCATTTGTATAAAGAAATTGTTTAATGTAGAGTCCAGGCACAGTTTGTTGACTACAAACTGGTAACTTCTGTTCTTAGTCCCTCAGTTTCCGATAAGGGGAACATACAAACGGTGAAGGGTAACAGAATATGAGTGAAAATGTGAACTGGATCAAACCAGAAGTCCTATTTTTAACATGGGAGTGAAAATAATCTGAATGTCTGTACCCACTTCAATTTTAAACAATAAGAATAATGTTCTCAATAAAATAGTGCACATAGACATAATTTTTAGTGGACATATAGTAATTATTCCTTATTGTAGACTGGTTATTCCATTTAGCAACCATTGCCCTATTTTGCAGGTCAGATGCTGTCTTAAATCTGTAACGGAGAACAACAGGACCGCTGGAATCTGTCTTCTCCATGACTACTGTCAACATTACTCCTTGGCAGCTGGTAGGTACAATTATCCCAGTGAGAGATCTCTCCCTCATTCCCTCCTAAAAATAATGGATTGTTTTTGTGTTTGTACTTTTTTCTGTTGAATTTAGGGGATCGTATTTGAAGTAGTTACAGTTGTTTAGCTGGAAGTACAGCTGGAGGCAAGAGGCATGTGATGTGGCAGATGATAGCGAGAGATCAATTGTTTGAAACTCTCAATGTGATAAAGAAGAATAGCAACAACACAAAAACATATATGTACAGTAATAACTGAAAGAGAATATACTTAGCATTCCTCCGAATGAATGAATGACTTCTTAATTTATAGCTTATAAAAGTTTGACTGCCAGTCTTTTCCACATCCTTTTTCCAATCTGTTGAAATCATGTAAGCCAGTCACAGTCTTAAGAAATGTTAACGTAGATAAAATGTAGGTTATTGCTGAAATCCTTTTTGCTGTGAGTTGGAATTTTCTGTAAATGAAAATCTGTGACAGATACGTTTAAGAAAGAGCAAACATTAATTCAAGCTCTAAACACTCTGCGTGTGAATAAAATTCTCCTCAGCTCCCCATTTGCTCATTTGCTAGTGAGCTTAAATTGATGCCGTTGAGTCACCAGTAGAAAACATTCCTTCCTATCGAACTGTATCAAACTCCTCATACTTTTAAAGAACTCTTACCAGATCATAGAATAATATGGAACTGAAAAAAGAAAGATTATTGACATACTGTATTAATAATACAGTGCATATAAGCCTATTTCATAGCAGATTAAGAACATAAGAAATAGGAGCAAGAGTAGGCCATTCGGCACCTCGAGCGTGTCCCGATCTTAATAAGATCTTTAATAAGATCTTTAATAAGATCACGGCTGATCAGATTGCCAAATGGGGAGATCTAAGATCATAAATGGAACCATGTTTACAGACTGCTTCTGCTGAATCTTCTCTGTTGTCAGCTGCTTTGTAATAGTGGTTTCGATAATGACTTGCCCTCTGAATGCCCTTCTGCCTCTGTTCAACATGTTTCCTCCATGAAACTGCCGAAGGAGTTGTAGAGGTGCTCAGTCATTTCAACGTTCCAGGCCAAAATGTAGTGGTCTTGGCATTTATCTATCATTAGGGTTTACCACGAATCTCTGAGTTCATATCGTCAAAGCTGAGATGTTTAACTCATGGATTTCAGCTGTGTGTTTGCCTCCTCAATGGGTTGTGAAGGTCCGTTCAGCCAATACATCCAACATTTTCTCAGTGAGTGAGAATGTTGCCCATTGTTACAGGGAAGAGTCACATTACATTTGCTGCAGAGAATATAGATTCTCTGTCTCCATAACCAGCAAAAGGTTGTCCTCAAGCCATGTTGGTACAGTACGAGTCAAATCATATTGAGTTGTGGCCACTTAAGCCATTCAAAAGAAGTGTATTGAAGTGGTTAAAGGAAATAGAATAGACAAGTTAAACGTCATTGTGGTACATCAGACATTGAAAGATACATGTGTCTGGAATCACAAACTATAAATTAATCTGAGCTTCTGTGTTGGACTGCAGTGCTGTCAGTCTGTGATTGAGTCCACACACACAGTCATTCTGAAGTTGGCTTAGGAAATGCATGAATGTGCAGGAGGATAACAGCGAGGGGAAACATGAGCAAAGTAGAAAGTGATGTTCAGAAACTTTAATTGAGGTCTACTTACATTGAAGATTCTGCTCTTTCCTTTGCACTGTGGCATATTCTGTTTGTGATGGAGGGACTGTGTCGAAAAATATGATAGAACTTAGACCTACGCACTTTGGGGTGTCTGATTTCTAAAGGGAGGCTCAAGCTTCGTCTTGTTCTCGTAGTAAGTATGCAAGGAGCTTAATTGCAAAGCATGATATGAGGATTACATTAGTTTTGTTAATTCAAAGCTACAGTGGGGTGTAGCAATATATTAAATGGTAAATTAGAGCATTTCAATTAAGCCAAATTACTGAAATGTTGCGTTGGCATAGCAGCTTGTTATACGCTACAACTAGTTTACTTACTGTTTCCTGTTGCAGCCATTGTGACACCATTTTGATGATGTGATCCACTTTTCGCCCTAAATGAATGTTACACAACAGATCGGCTTGTAGATTTCTCAACAAGAGTATTTTACATAGATTTACATATAGATTTACATAGACTGTACAGCAGGGAAAGAGGCCATTTGGCCCACTGTGACCTTGCCGTTTATACTTCCACATGAGGGTCCACCCACTCCTTACTCCCTCCCACAGCCTTCTATTCCCTTCTCCCTAATGTGTATACCCGTCTTCCTTTTAAATGCATTTTAATCCGCGCAGAAAGTTCCTGGTACTTATTAATCAAACTACAAGTGAGGCCCAAAACCTACGCTTGTCAGATGACAACTGGTCACTATCCTCCTGGGGGGTGGGGTGTTAGGGGATGGGGGAAGGTTGGCTAAACTGGCTCCAAGATGAGATTTTTGGCAATCTAAGTCGTCCAGTTCCTGAGCCAGGGGGGTCCGCAGTACTCCAGGGCACTGCTGATTACAGCACAGCCCACCCTGGCTCATCAACAGGACATGGAAGGAAAGACCAGTCACTGGGGGCAGGGAAACCTCCCACTCAGCTCCTGTTAACCCTGCAGCCAAAGCCCTAACTAACAGGTAGGGTGGTCCTCGCTGGGCAAGCAGTGGGAAAGTTGCCAGACAGCGCTCTCAATTGCAAGCTATGTTTTTTTAGCAGCTTAGATTCCAACAGTTACCTCAGTGTACACTGGGGGTCCCCAAGCCTTGGCTCTCGCCAACCTGCGCTTAATGCAGTAATGAGGTAAGCAGTTGCTTCCCTCCAGGGAGGGAGTGGACATTCCATTCCAATAAATTTGTCAGGAATTTCAATGGGCTGTAAGAAACTAAACTCTCAGTTTTGTTTGGATGCTCTCAAACCAGTGATGGGTTTCCTCATATGTCAGACACCCGGCTGACAAAAATATAATAAATGCATCTATACTATCAATTTTAACCACTGCTTCAGACAACAAGTTCCATATTCTCTGTGGGAAGAAGTTCCTCCTAAATTCTCTTTTAGATGCCCTTAAAGTGGGAACAGCCAATTTATGAGAGAGAACCTTATTGAGTCCTTTTATCATTTTAAACATCTCCTTTAGGTTCCCTGTTAAACGTGTCTTCTCTGGTGATAAACATCTTTCTTCTATTTTGTGAAGGTTGTAGTTTTCTTACTCCTGTTGCAGGCTACAGCATGTACTCGCAAATCCCAAGAGTGCTTTCCATCTGCACACCAGACTGCATTGTCATAATGATAATAATCATTGCATTTGATACAGTGCCTTATCATGTCTTTGAGACGTCTCAAAATGCTTCGCAGAATATACTGTAGAGTGAATTGACTGTATATTTTGCGGGCGAATCGGAGCAGTGAATTGCGCTACAGAACGTCCCATAAACAGTCATGGTTGAAGTGACCAATTTATTATATTTTTTTGAAGGAATTATTATCCCAGAAAAGCGATGTGCCAATCGACTAACAACCGGGTTCCTACTTACTGTTTGGTAAATGGAGGCATGTGTGTGGAGTAAGGAAACTTGCCCAACATTTCGCCCTTCCAGATCTGTTGCTTCTGAGGCGAGTGCTCTAACCAATAAGCTACAGGTCTCCAAGTAGAGGTAAATGCGACATTGCTATCTTATATTTGTATTCCTGGTGACAGACTCCTCAACAAGAACATTCTGCTAACCTCATTGAACCCTTATTATAATTCTATTGCACTAAAAATGATATGCAACCAAGATGACTGTTATATTGATTAGTATTCACACACCATTAATAAGAACGGTTATATAATTTTGATTTACTTGCGCTGTGAGTTCCATTGAATAAATTTCAGGTAAATGTACAAGCAAGAATATGAGGACAGGTGGAAACTGCAATAAATGGGTTGATGCAGATGAATAAATAAAGATATTTGATTGTATCTGAACATGATACATTATTACAGTATCTGGTGATCCATTGGGGAACAGGAAATATTGTTTGGAAGTTGATTTACTAAGACATATTTATAAAAAAAACACAGATAGCATCCCTAGATAGCTTGGTGATAAAGACATGGGTATTTGGTGAAGAAATATTTTCAACACTGATTCCAATAACAAGTACAACATTAGTTTAATCATTTGCACATAACAGACAGCAGCTTATCCAAGAACATATAAACCGAGGCACATGAATGTAAATATAAATTGCAGACAACATGAAAAGAGAAAAGTGAAGTGAAAGTTTTATTAATCACAACGTATGAAGGCAAAAATAGAAGACAAATAGTCAGAAGTCTCGATTTTCAAAAGTTCCAGTTTCTAGTGAAAAGTATATATGGTCATTTTTTTAAACTTTTTTTGAATATTAGATTGCATTTCCCTTATTATAATAATAAACCTTAAATTTGATATAGCGCTTTACCACGTCTTTGAGACGTCTCAAAGTGCATCACAGGATATACTGTAAAGTCAATTGACTGTGTGTTTTATGGGTGAAACACGGCAGCCAATTGGGCACAGCACTATCCCACAAACAGTCGTGGATTGAGTGACCAAATTACTATTATTATTGTTTTATTTTGGAAGGAATTTTTACCCCCGGAAAAGCGATCCGACAATCCACTAAAAACCGGATTCCTGGGAAAACAGAGGCGTGTGTGTGAAATAAGGAAACTTGCCCAATGTTTTTGTCCTGCCTGGGAATCGAACCAAGGCCTCTCGCTTGCGAGGCAAGTTCTCTAACCACTGAGCTACAGGACTCTACAATACACATGTCAGAAGAACATTCCAAAGCGCTCAACCAACACCAGAACTGAGGGTGCGAGCTGAAGGATTGTTCTATTTGGTCAGCCGGGTGCCTGAGACATGCGAAAATTTAGGGACTGTGGAGGGGGAAACTGATCAAAAATAAGGGTACCTTGAAAGAGAGAAGAAATGAGTCAGAGGGACGTTGCAGAGACTAAGTGCAAAGTATCTGAAGTGGTAGAACAGGGATTAGGGTAGGCCAGTGTTATCACCTTTAATTGCAATAATCAATTCTTTTCAACTCTGTGTGAAAGTACACATTTTCAATAATTTAATATTAAGGATTGGATATTATCATAATACAGTGAAGCCCCACTATAATGTGGCAGTTCGGGGTCCAAAAAATACCAAACCTTCTTTAGTTGCCAACACTTTGCTCTAAAAATCGTTTACGGCGCTTTGAGATGTTTCGATGATGGGAGAAGATCCAAGATCAAATGGAAGAGTACTATTATAACCCACACTAAACTCTACCCCATCACACCAATCCGCGCCAGGCTCCATTATCACAGAATGGATCGATTTCAAGATCTTCTCACCCGTCTACAAATCCCTTCAGGCCCTGCACCTCCCTACTCCCGACCTACTTTCTCCCCAACCCATTACCCACTGCCTCGCTCGGTTGGCTCCGGCTTTCAGACACTACACCCCGAAGCTTTGAAACTCTCTCCCCCTATCCCTCCGCTTTGCCACCTCCTTTCCCTCTTTTAGATCACGCCTGAAGACTTTGTTCTTCGACCACGCTCACGGTCACCTCCTCCCCCCGGCTCGGTGTCAGGCTCCGTCACAGCACTCCGAGACGCTACACCATGTGAGGGACGCTATATAAGCTGTTGTTGATGAGTGAATCTCCAGGAAGAACTGGTGGTTCTTAAAAGCATTTACTTCTGAAATAATTTTACGCGAGAGCCACAGACTAAAAGTACTAAAAGTGAATATGCAGTTTAATATGTGTTGCTGTTGAACTACAGGCACAAGGCATCAATATAAATGTAAACAGAATGTCAGCTTCTAGTTTTTTCTCTTTCAACAAATATATCCAAATGGAAATCTTATTCCAGCAGGGCAAGAAAGCAAAATGCATTGCTTGCAATCCCTGGAAACCTAAACTTTTCTGGCAGCAAGGAAATAACATTGCTTTCATAGAATAGCCTGTCCGCGCTCTCCGCTCAGCAGGCTCCGGCCTACTTCACGTCCCCCACCCCACCCACCCCACCATCATCAGCTGGGCCTTCACCTTAGGGAACTCTAACCCACATTCCATTCCCCTCGCTCCCTCCCTTGCTTCCTTCAGGGTGCGTCTCAAAATCCTCTTTGCCTGAGCCTTCGGCCACCCTCCTACCCTCCCTGCCCTCCCCAAACCCGATCCCCAAATCGGGTCCAAGTCTCTGACGAGCAGCACCTCGGGATGTATAGCCCCTTTCCGATGTGAAAGGCGCTATACAAATGTAATATTGCATAGAATAAGAAATACAAAAAGGGAGGCAATCGGCACTACGTAATAATCCTTACATTTGATACAGTGCCTTATCCTGACGTCGAAATTTCTCAAAGCGTAAGATATGTTGTAAAGTGGTGTGACTGAGTGTGTTTTGTAGGCAAACACGGCAGCCAATTTGCACACAGCTATATCACACGATCAAGTGGTACATAAAGGATATGACATGGAGAATGTATCACAGCAAAAAGAGAGAAACTTGGATATGAAGCAGCAAACGATTATAACAAATACAGACAGTCATAAAGAATGAGGCGTTCTTTACCACATTCACAATAAAGTAACATTAAGATTCTTATAGAAATATTTACCTTCCTTTTACTTTGACGACCCATACGACAAGTGCAGTAATCAGAGCAACGCCAACAATACAGGCAATCACTATTCCTGCTATCGCTCCACCGCTTAAACTGTTAGGAGGACTGCCTTTGTCTGTAAGATAATAAAATCAAATATTCCAGTCAGACGAGACAAAGTACAATTTCAGATAAATAATGTTACCCGAATACAAATATTTAAATGCCGGGGAACAGGTGTGAAATGTAGTTTGATTTCAACAGACTGAGAATTGAATCATCAATGACCTATCTACAGCTTTCCAGCAGAAAGATGAATTAATAATAGCTAATGGTATTCACATGTGTAAGAGAATGGTTCTTGCCATAATGATATGCAACATTATATTTCACTGCCTTCTTTTCCTTGTTCCTTCCTCCATTCATTTAGATCACCCAGAAATCCGTCTAAAGACCGAAGGCACGGTCAAAGAGGAAGGTCTTTAGACGGGGCTTGAAAGAGGCAAGAGAGGCGGTGAGGCTGAGGGATTGCGGGATAGAGTTCCAGAGTGTGGGAGCAGAGATACTGAATCCCCAACCGCCAATGGTGGGGCGGGAAGTGCTGGAGACATGAAGACAGTGTCCACCAGAGGAGGGAGCGGGCAGCCTAATATGGGGTTAGAAGGTCAAAAAGGAGGAGGGAGCAATTCAGTGGAGGGCTTTGAAGGTGAGAATGAGAGTTTTGTACTCTGTTCTCTGAGGGCCAGAATGCTGAAGGGTACACAGACAGAGTTCCACATATGCATCAAAGTTTCCCTTTGTGTGGAATGAAGATAACATTCTCTCCTCAGATGAATGCCTCTAACCCTGGAAAGTATTAGGCACAGGTTGGCAGCAGTCAAGGCTTAGGAGATTGTCTTGGAAGCTTCCCGTTGCTTGTTCTGTGAAACTGTCACTGTCACTTTCACAGTGAGACCTTGGTTTAGATATGGTCAACTGGGCCCAATGTTTTAGTGACAGCGCTATAAGTGAAGTGCGCTATAACGCCCAACTTCTTAACTTCCAATCATCAGGTCTCTGCTGATGTCAATTCCTGCACAAAATGAGCAGGAAACTCCACTTTGAGTGAAGTCAGGGACACTTATTGTGCCGTTCAGTAGGTCAGTGGTTAGAGAGTTTGTATTGCAAGCGAGAGGTCCCGGGTTCAATTCCTGTTCAGGGCGAAATGTTAGGCAAATTTCCTTACTCCACACACACACGCACACACCTCTGTTTACTGAGCAGTACCCTCTTGTTAGTCAATTGGCGGATCGCTTTCCAGGGGTAATAATCCCTTTAAAAATATTTAAAAATGAAAAAATAATAATAATTTGGTCACTCAATCCACGACTGTGGGACAAGGCTGTGCGCAATTGGCTGCCATGTTTGGCCCACAAAACACACAGTCACTGCACTTGACAGTGTATCTTTTGAAGCGTCTCAAAGACATGATAAGACGCTATATCAAATACAAGGATTATTATTATTAACCTTGGGACGTCCTCCCGACTTGAAAGGCGCTTTTTAAATGTAATTTTGTTGTTGTTGCTGGTTTCTGCGTAATACAAGTCAAAGGCACACACAATGTGCAGGAATTGATGTTAGCATTGCAAGAGAGAGAGATAGATAGAGAGGGAGGGTGTTTTCTCCTCGTCTTCTCCAGGTCTGTCTGTCTGTTTGTCTCTCAGGCTCCTCACTCTCTCTCTGTCTCAGTTCCACTCTCTCTCGTCTGTCCGTCTGACTATCTCCCCCCTTTCTCTGTCTCCCCCTTTCACTATCCACTCATGAACGCTGCAGTTCATGACTATTTTTGGTTATATTTAGAGGTTATAAACATATAAGGGCACAGATATGTTTGAGATCCCTAAACCGTTATGAGTTCAGTAGAATTTCTTTGCATTGCTGGGTCAACTTTAAACATTTGCAGTTAACTGCACTTATACAGTTAAAGGATTTTGAATGAACCCGATTCTGTAAATGTATGAAAACAGACAAAGGGGAAAACTAAAGGGTTGAGAGAGAAAGAAAGAGAGAGAAAAAAAGAGATGAGTGGGAGAGAGGGAAACAGAGATAGACAAGAGAGAGTAAGGGAGATTATATAAGGAGGGTAATAATTCCTTCAAAAAATAATAATAAATTGGTCACTCAATCCACGACTGATTGTGGGACAGTGCCATGATTCGCCCACAAAATATAGTCAATTCACTTCACAGTAAATTCTGTGAAGCGCTTTGAAACGTCTGAAAGTCGTGATAAGGAGTTATATCAAATGCAAGAATTATTATTATCAATTATTATTATAGACAAGACAGAGTAAGGGAGATTAAGAATGAGGGAGACCAAGAGGGAAATAGACAGAGAAAGGTGGTGACAGACCCAAATGGCCCGTAGACAGATTTTCGGAGTTTAGCATTCTCCTCCAAGGCACACAATCATCCAACACAATAATTATTAATAATCCTTACATTGGATATAGCACCTTATCATGTTGTCGAGATGTGTCAAAGCGCTGCACAGGATGTAATGTAAAGTGCACTGATATTTTGTGGACAAATATGGGAACTATTTTATGTTCAACAATACCACATGAACAGTTAATGACCAATTTTATTTGGGGGAAGCGCTCTGAGACGTGACCTGACAGGAGGGGTGCTATATAAATGCAAGTTCTTCTTGTTGTTAGCGATGAAACTCAGAGAGAGAAACTCCATTCTGTTGTCAATAGTACTGTGGGATCTTTAATGTCTATGTGGACAGTCACAGGACTCTGGTTTAACGACTCATCCGTTAGTACCTCTAACTCCTCTGGCTCCGGTCTGCACCACATCCCCCGCCCCAACCGCCCGACCATCCACCTTCAGCCTCTCAGCCCCGAGGCTCTGGAACTCTATCCCCAGTGCCTTCGCCGCTTCCTCCCTTTCCTCCTTCGAGGCCGGTCTCAAGACCTTTCTCTTCGACCGTACCTTCAGCTCCACTCTCGACTCTCTACCCCCTCCTCGCTCCCTCCCTTCCCTCCCCTCACCCTGACCATTTCCCCCCTCCTCGCTCCTCCCTTCCCTCCCCTCACCCTGACCATCTCCCCCCTCCTCGCTCCCTCCCTTCCCTCCCCTCACCCTGACCATCTCCCCCCTGCTCGGGTCCCGACCCAACTGTCCATCGCCTTGGTACGTCCTCCCGACGTGAAAAGCGCTCTATAAATGAAATCTTGTTGTTGTTGTAACACATCACACCCCAGCACTGCATTGCAGCGACTGCCTCGACTATACAGGTTCCAAGTTCCAATGTGGGGCTTCAACCCACAATCGTCTGATTCAGAGGCAAAAGCGCTGCAAACTGAGCCATACTGACAATGAGGCAATCAAACTCCACCACAGTTAGCAGAACATAAGCACAAGATCAACTCCTAATATTTGTTTCTGCAAGTATGTCAGTATGTTCATGTCAATCAGACAGAGCATCATTGGGCCTGGATAAAAGAGTGGCAATATAAATATAAATTTGCATACGGGGTCTTCTGTGAATCGCACAAAAACTACTTTTCAACTTCCACTCTTAATTCTAGATTCACTGATGTTGATAACTGTTCATAACTTATTAAATTACAAAACCTCGCTGCCTGACAAGTGTACCTCCCACGGTCAGTCGGGCTTATTTGATCAATGGTGAGCTGTGGAGTTGTGTGTGACAGAACAGTGCCATTAAATATCCATTTATACTGAGCTTCTGGGTTTGACTGAGCAGAACAAGAGAATGTTAGAGAGTCTCCAAGTTCTGCTGAGTGTGTCCCAGTGATTGTAAGCTCAGGGGTGTCTGGTCCATCTGCAACAGACGCAAGAACGGCTTCTTTATTACCACTGAACGTAAAGCATAAGATTGAAGCCTTATTCTGAGAGGCGGCTGAGTACTGACACGCAATGCTCAGTGTGTAGCTGCCGGACACAGAGCTAAGGCTGTTCTTTGCCTCACACCGATACGTTCCACCATCATTTCTAGTCACACTGATGATGGTCAGGGTGGCATTATCCTGGGAGATTGTGATCCTGTCATTGCTGTGGAGAGTTCGCTCATCCTTAAACCACAACCGTGACTCAACAGTGCCTTTAACATCACATGTCAGTGTCACAGTGTCAGTGTATTCTATTGGGTTGGGAATGTTCTGTGTTATGGTGACCCTGGTGATTTTTTCTGTGAATAGAATGATAATAGAATCATACAATTATAAACCAGTTGTTACGCTGAACGTTTTGACAAAGTTATTCTTTTGGTTTCTGTTTTAATATCACTGTATCTCAGTGGTTAGAGCACTCGCCAGAGTGAGAGACCTGGGTTCGATTCCTGGGCAGAGCGAAATGTTGGGCAAGTTTCCTTACTCCACACACACTCACACACACCTCTGTTTATCCATCAGTGAGTAGAAACCCGGTTGTTCGTCGATTGGTGGATCAATTTTCCGATGATAATAATTCCTTCAAATAATAATACTAATAATTTGGTCACTTCAATCCATGACTGTTTGTGGGACACTGCTGTGTGCACTTGGCTGCCATGTTTCGCCCACAAAATATTCAGTCACTACACTTTATTGTATGTACTGTGAAGCACTTTGAGACATCTCAAAGATGTGATAAGGCACTGTATCATGATCTGTTTGCCACATACCCAAGGACTGACACAGCGGACCTTTATCAGGAGAATTCTAACCCCATCAGAAGGCATTGCTGGAGTCCATAACACTGTAATCTGCCTCATAGCGCAGTGTGATCAGCAGTGGCTGCTCGTCAGTGATGACATGACTGTGACTGTTTGGTTTCCTGAAATAGGCCAACTTCAGGGTCACCATTATAATAATAGTGGTGACCCTGAAGTTGGCGCTTCACAGAATATATTGTAAAGTGAATTGACTGCATTTTTTGTGGGCGAAATGAAGCAACCAATTGCGCACAGCAGTGTCCCACAATCAGTCGTGGATTCAAGTGACCAAATTATTTTTTATTCTTGAGGGATTATTGTTGTTGTATTATCAGGCATGTGGAGTAAGGAAACTTGCCCAAGGTTTCGCCCTGCTAGGAATTGAACCAGGTTTCTCGCTTGTGAGCCGAGTGCTCTAACCACTGAGCTACAGCACTCCAGTTTGCATCAGTTCCTGCACATGTTTGGTATGTGCAAAGGTTTGTGCTTTTTTATAAACTAATCCGAAAGCCTTCCTTTCTTGTGCTGAAGACAATCCATTCCTTGGAAGTAAATTCCATATTATAACAGGACCCCCTTAAAGAGAGTTCCATTGGTATCAGTCCTTCATTGGTATCCTTTTCACTTTGCTGTAATAATCAATAATCACATTAAGCGAACTGACCATCCCGAATACTGATCCAAGAATAATACTGAAGGAACTAATAGTGAATCAACCCTAAGACTAATAATAATAATCCTTGCATTTGATATAGCACTTTTCACGTCTTCTAGACGTCTCAAAGCGCTTCACAGAATATACTGTGAAGTAAATTGACTGTATTTTTTGTGGGTGAAACGCGGCAGCCAATTACGCACAGCAGCGTCCCACAAACAGTCGTGGATTGAGTGACCAAATAATATTTTTTTTTCTTGAGGGATTATTATCAGGCATGTCTAATCACTGAGCTATAGGACTCCACTTACTGCAAGGTAAACAGACATGTGTGTGTGTGTGGAGTAGGGAAACTTGCCACAGGGATTAACCTAAAACTGACCTGTCTCTAATACTGACCAGATTCCGACCCTTATACTGGACAATACAAGGGTAGGATGAGACATTAAATTTTGCCTTCTGTCCAGGTGGACGTTAATAACGTTGGGCACGTTTCCTTACTCCACACGTCTCTGTTTATCTAGCAGTAAATAGGAACCCGATAGGGGGATCGCTTTTCCAGGGGTAATAATTCCTAAAAAAAATTGGTCACATCAATCCACGACTGTTCGTCGGACATTGTTGTGTGCAATTGGCTGCCACGTTTCACCCAATAAATATATTCACAGTGTATCCTGTGAAGCACTTTGAGACGTCTCAAAGATGCGATATGACGCTATATCAAATGCAAGGATTATTGTTATTAAATCCCAACCAGCGCTATCAAGGGATTCAGTTGCAAGTCAGTGCTTATTCATTGTATATTGTGTATTCATTGACCATAAACACAGAAGAGAAAATGACAGCTGGTTTGTGGCAAAACAAAACTGCCTACTTCTGGGTCACAGTCAATGTCACTTCTTGCATTCACTCCCCTCACCATTTCCCCCCCAATGCTCGGGTCCTGACCCAACTGTCCAGTGCCTTGGGACGTCCTCTCGACGTGAAAGGCGCTCTATAAATGGAATCTTGTTGTTGTTGTTACCCACCACTGTTGGATCTTCTCCAACTTTGTTTTTCAGGATTCCTTCTCATTTTATCTCAGATTGCAATCTTTGTCAATTTGTTACAGTTGTACAGCATACGCCAGGCCACTTAATGATGTTTTTAGTAAAAAATAAAGTACAGAAAGTCTTTTACGTCATGTAACAATACTGCTTATGTACTTATGACATGAATTCCGATGTTTGGGTACTGTTTAAAGCCTGACACGTGTAATTCCCAGCGGTCTTCAGGGTAATATTGGGAATGCTGCTACGTGAGGGGTGCTATATAAATGCAAGTTCTTGTTCTTGTTGTTATTGGCCATTATACCCAGAGAGAGAAACTCTATTCTGTTTTCAAATAGTACTGTGGGATTTTTAATGATTATGTGGACAGTCACGGCATTCTTTGGTTTAACGTCTAATCCGAAGGACAGCGCCTCTAACACATCACACCGCAGCACTGCGTTGGAGTGACTGCCTCGACTATATGGGTTCCAGGTTCCAATGTGGGGCTTCAACCCACAATCGTCTGATTCAGAGGCAAAAAGTGCTACAAACTGAGCCATACTGACAATGAGGCAATCAAACTCCACCACAGTTATCAGAAATTACCCACAAAGATAAGCACAAAAGCAAACCCTAGCATTTGTTTCTTCAAGTATGTCAGTATGTTCATGTCAAGCAGACAGAGCATCATTGGGCCTGGATTAAAGAGTGGCAATATAAATATAAATTTGCATACGGGGTCTTCTGTGAATCACATGGAAACTACTTTTCAACTTCCACTCTTAATTCTAGATTTTCTGATGTTGATAACTATTCATAACTTATTAAATTACAAAACATCGCTGCATTTGAAACACAAGAGTTGGTGCTGAATATCAATGCAATGCATTTGCTACCACTATACAGAAGAGTATATTGAGCTCCCAACGTAGAAAAGCTAGAAATATCATGACCACATCATGATAGCACATCACAGCACAGTACGTTCACTTACCCTGTAAAGTTACGTTTAATGTTGTCTCATTGACTCTTAAGGTAATGTTGTTACGAGCCTGACAAGTGTACCTCCCAAGATCATTCTGGCTTATTTGATGAATGGTGAAATTTGAACTTGTATGTGACAGAACGGTGCCATTAAATATCCATTGATACTGAGCTTCTGGGTTTGACTGAGCAGAACAAGACAATGTTAGAGAGTCTCCAAGTTCTGCTGAGTGTGTCCCAGTGATTGTAAGCTCAGGGGTGTCTGGTCCATCTGCAACAGACACAAGAACGGCTTCTTTATTACCACCGAACGTAAAGCATAACATTGAAGCCTTATTCTGAGAGGTGACTGAGTACTTACACGCAATGCTCAGTGTGTGGCTGCCGGACACAGAGCTAAAGCTATTCTTTGCCTCACACCGATACGTTCCACCATCATTTCTAGTCACACTGATGATGGTCAGGGTGGCATTATCCTGGGAGATTGTGATCCTGTCATTGCTGTGGAGAGCTCTCTCATCCTTAAACCACAACCGTGACTCAACAGTGCCTTTAACATCACATGTCAGTGTCACATTGTCATTGTATTCTATCGGGTTGGGAATGTTCTGTGTTACGGTGACGCTGGTGATTTTCTCTGTAAATAGAATGATAATAGAATCATACAATTATAAACCAGTTGTTATGCTGAACTTTTTGACAGTTATTCTTTTGGTTTCTGTTCTGTTTTAATAGTGCTGTAGCTCATTGTGCAATTCTCTTTAAGGGGCTCCTGTTATAATATATAATATGGTTATAAAATGTTGGGCAAGTTTCCTGACTCCACACACACTCACACACCTCTGTTTGTCTATCAGTGAGTAGAAACCCGGTTGTTAGTCGATCGGTGGATCAATTTTCCGGGGGTAATAATTCCTTCAAAAAAAATACTAATAATTTGGTCACTTCAATCCATGACTGTTTGTGGGACACTGCTGTGCGCATTTGGTTGCCGTATTTCCCCTACAAAATATTCAGTCACTACACTTTATTGTATATTATGTGAAGCACTTTGAGACGTCTCGAAGACGTGATAAGGCACTGTATCAAATACAAGGATGATTATAGTATCATGATCTGTTTGCCACATACCCAAGGACTGACACAGCGGACCTTTATCAGGAGAATTTTAACCCCATCAGAAGGCATTGCTGGAGTCCATAACACTGTAATCTGCCTCATAGCGCAGTGTGATCAGCAGTGGCTGCTCGTCAGTGATGACATGACGGTGACTGCTTGGATTCCTGAACCACAAACAGCCCAACTTCAGGGTCACCACTTCAGTTTGCATCAGCTGCTGTACATGTTTGTTATGTACGAAGCCTTCCTTTCTTGTGCTGAAGACAATCCATGTCTTGGAAGTAAATTCTACATTATAACAGGACCCCCTTAAAGAGAGTTCCACAATGTCATTGGTATCAATCCTTTTTACTTTGCTGTAATAATCAATAACCACATTAAGCGAACTGACCGTCCCGAATACTGATCCAAGAATAATACTGAAGGAACTAATAGTGACTCAACCCTAAAACTAATAATAACAATAATCCTTGAATTTGATATAGTGCTTTTCATGTCTTCTAGACATCTGCATACATCTGACATCTGACTGTATACTTGTGGGCGAAACGTGAAAACCAATTTTGCAACGTAGTGTCCCACAAGCAGTCGTGGATTGAGTGACCAAATAATAATTTTTTTTCTTGAGGGATTATTATCAGGCATGTGTAGTCAGGAATCTTGCCCAAGGTTTCACCCTGCCAGTCATCGAACCCAGGTCTCTCACTTGCGAGGCGAGTTCTCTAATCACTGAACTCCAGGATTCCATACCGGACTAACCTAAAACTGTCTCTAATACAGACTAGCTTCCGACCCTTATACTGAGATATTGAATCCTGGCTTCTGTCCAGGTGGACATTAATAATAATAATCCTTTGCTCCTTATCATGTCTTCGAGATGTCTCAGAACACTGGGCGAAATGTGGCAGCCAATTGCACACAGCAGTGTCCCACAAACAGTTGTGGATTGAGTGATAAATGTATTGTTTGTTTGCGTCCTTGAACAATATAGTGTGTCAGCCCGGCTCAATTAGTGACACTCTCATCCCCGAATCAGAAGGTTGTAGTTTCAAGCCATTGTAAGGATAATGTAAGGAATTATTACCCCCAGAAAAGCAATCCGCCAATTGACTAATAACAGGTTCTTACTTACTGTGAAGGTAAATAGAGGTGTGTGGAGTAACGAAATGTTTCACCTGCCGGGAATCAAACCCCGGTCTCTCACTTGCGAGGCGAGCGCTCTAACCCCTGAGCTACAGGACCCCACTATCCTGGTGTCCAGGGTGACAATCCTACAAATAAAATTAACCCCTCACTCTGAGGCAGTTGGCGGGGAGATTGCTGTTTGCAAAGTTGACTATCATATTTGCCCAGAAAATACACCAAGCGACATCACTTCACAGTATCCTATGAAGTGCTTTGATGGGTCGGTGATGTGATAAAGTGCCATATCAAATGCAAGGATTATTCTCGTTATTATAATGAATTAAGCCCCTTGATAATTCAGAAGAATGGGTCATGGATTATATTATTTTAAACCACCTCTCTGGCTTTCCTCCACCCAATCCCATCCCTCCCCCATGCTCGCGTCCTGACCCCTGACTGTCCAGCGCCTTGGGAGATCCTCCCGACGTGAAAGGCTCTCTATAAATGTAATTTTGATGTTGCTTTACTTTGAGATAGACCATCATAGCCTTTCCAGTCCTGCACATTCTTACATACATGGAATTTATAAAAAGAGTATTGAAAGGGAGATAAAGAGAGCATGTGGGGTTGATTCACTCCCTTCTGTTTTAACTTCTTGAGATTGTTAACTATTGTTAACTATCACATAATATTCTTTCTCCTTAAAAATACCTGTTGAACTCTCTAAATATTCACTTTTGACAGTAAAGTTGCAACTTAGTTGGGAAGAAAAATGGCAGAGAAGCAGCACTGCTTGTAGTTTAACTGTAAATTAAAAATGGCATAAAATTATAGGTACATTTTATGACGTAAAACAACAAATTTTACGTCACAAGGTCAATCCGGTAGCCAGGAATCTCTGCTCCTGTTATTTTCTTAAAATTTTCACAAAATCAAACGCAAGACTTACCCATCAACACTCAGTACAGTTAAACGTTTGGCAAACTTTAAAATAACACATTTCTCAGCATCAAATGAACAAGTGGTAATCTTACATTTGATATAGAGTCTTTCATGTCAGGAGGAAGTCTCAAAGTGCTTCATAGGATTTACTGTGTATTTATAGTCAAACGCAGCAGCCAAATTGCTTCTGTCCCACAGACAGTCACAAAACAAATGACTAATTTTATTTGAGGGATTGTCGGCCAGGAATCTCCATATTAGGGTTCCTCTGTTTTCGAATCGTGCAGTGGATGAGCTTTAATGTCCTCCAGAACATGCACACGGGCTGTAGTTTAACATCTCGTCTGAAGGACGGCAGCTCTGAACATAGCAACATAGGAACAGGGATAAGGCATTCAGCCTCTCGAGCCCATCCGCAACAAGAAAATGCCACACTCCCCCGAGCACTGCTTTGGAATGTCATCTTAGACTATGATAGTTCAAGTCCCAACGTGGGCCGAACCAGAATATGGTCATTCACTCCACGGATGTTTGGAGGACATTGCTGTGGACAAACTGTCTGCCACAGTCACACATACACACAGTCACAGCACTTTACAGTAAATCCTATGAAGCGCTTTGAGATATCTTGACAATGTGATTGTTGCTGTGCCAAAGGCAACGAGATACCAAATGTAAGAAAATGATGGATTACATATTACATACCGATGATAATGATTTCTCTTGTGGCTGACCTGTACCTTTGGGTTACACTGTTAAAGGCTGACACGTGTGATTCCCAGCGTTCTTCGGGGTAATATTGGGAATGAGAAGGTCCGAGTCATTTTGTAGAAAAGAGGAAGTATTGAAATATCATTGAAATTCACAAGGTGGGTTTGATTCCGCAGAAACGAGAGATTAACAGTTAATGCTGAACTAATTAATTGACTGATATGTTGGGATATCCTGGTCCATCCAAAATAGATCACAGGTTGGTTCAAACACAATCTTTGTGTGAGGTAAGTATCATGAGGTGCAAACAATTCCCACGCAGCCTGGCACGTAGAACTAAAACCGCCGACTGTAAAAAGTAATCCATGGATACTGCTGGATATACCTACCACTGTGAAATGACATCTTAAGTACAAAATATTACGTAAATGATTTGTTTCTTCACACAAGTCCCTGTTATCATTTAATATGTGCAGAACAACAACAGTTTGCACGACATAGCATCTTTTAGGGTGTCAGCCTGACTGCTGACAGCTCTCACCCCCACCACCCCTGCCCTGCACCCCTCCTGACCCCAACTCCCAGCTCGGGTCCAAACCCCTGACTGTCCCGGGCACTACACAAGTGTAACTTGTTGCTGTGTGTCAGTAAGTTGTGGGTTACACAATAGGACTTTGAACTCACATTATTGAGTGCCACATTTGAGCAAAAATACAGTCACAACCACTTTACAGTAAATCGTATGAGGTGCTTTGAGAATTCTTTTGACACTCCAACACAGGGCTGAGGGTGTACTGGTACCCGACTCTGTGTGTTTTAAGTTCCACATAGACTTCCAAATGTTGCTCTCAATCTGAATCCTGGAGTAAAACGCTTTTACTAAACCACACCAGGGTTTACAATAATGAGAAACGCTATGTGAGAAGCTAAATATAATTACTATATTCACTACTTTAACACTTCATTTAATCCACCAACATCAGAGACAGAGGGAAACACAGACAACAAAAGCGTAAGGTTAGTAGAGGCGCAGGGACATATTGCACATTAGGTTAGCACTGTTACAGGGGGATCTATATTGCACAGAAGATTGCATTATACAGTGCCTTTCATGTATGATGTTCTCATGTGGAAATCTGTAGCTTAGTGTTCAGAGCACTCGCCTTGTAAGCAGAGACCTGGGTTTGATTCCCGGCCGTGCGAAACGTTGGGCAAGTTTCCTTACTCCACACATCTCTGTTTACCTCTCAGTAAATAGGAACCCGGTTGTCAGTTGATGGACAGATCGCTTTTCTGGGAGTAGTAATTCCTTCAAAAAAAAGGTCACTTTAATCCATGACTGTTTGTGGGAACCCGCTGTGAGCAATTAGCTATCACGTTTCACCCACAAAATATAGTGAATTCACTTTACAGTAAATTCTGTGAAGCGCTTTTAGATATCTCAAAGACATGATAAGGCACTATATCAAATGCAATGATTATTATTATGTCTCAGAACATTACAGAGGAGAGGTCAGACACTGAGCAGAGAGGATGTTTATCATTTATTGCCAACCCTCTTTTGATCAAATAAAATCATTGATATTGATATCTATTCCAGCTCTGAAGTGAGAAAAAAGTGGTCAAAGCCTAATGCCTAATGTGAGCACTTGTCTTTCACACAAGATGGAAAATCGATCTTCTTTTATCAGTTAACCAGGGTTGGTAATAAATAATAATTAGCAACAAAGAAAATGGAAGCTGTTAATCAACACTTACAGTTAACATTGAATAAGAATCACTTGTCTTTCCATTCATTACGTTGTACCCAAAACACGTATATTCTCCAGTGTCAGACCTTAAAATTCCAGGTATAGTGAGAGTTCTATTGCCATCACTTAGCGCAATCCTTGTGTCAACATAGATACCATCATTGTCCTTATACCACAGATATGAGACGGCAGTGCCCACTGCAGTGCAGGTCAGAGCCACACTGTCATTATGTTCTACCGGAATAGTGACATTGGAGGTAACAACAGCTTCGAAAACGATCCCTCAAAACACAGGAGATTGGTTTAACATGAAATATAATAATAGTCCCTACACTGTGACAGGACCTTTCATGTCAGGACGACGTCTCAAAGTGCTTTACAGGATATAATGTAAACTGTTCTGTGGGCAAATATAGCAGCCAATTTGTGCAGTGATACCCTACAAACAGACACACACTGTTTTTATTTGGGGATTATTGACCAGGCCATCAGGAGAGAGACACTCCCATATCATTTTGAACAGTGCCTTGGGACGTCCTCCCGATGTGAAAGGCACTATACAAATGTAATATTATTGTTCCGTGGGACCTTTATCGTTCACCTGAACAGGCAAGGCAGATGGGACCTTGTTTAACGTCTTATCTGAAGGATAACACTTTCTACTGTGTATAAGTTCCTGATATGAGGTTTGAATTTACAATTTTCTGATTCATGGGTGATAGTGCTACTAATTAAGCCAATATATTGATGGACTATATTGTTCAGGGACACAAACGTATGCAGTGAATGTGTAATACAAGTTGTAGATGGCATTATCTTTCTGTAGGTTTTGTATAGAACAAGTCTGTTCAGAGAATTCAATGCTTCAATACAGCTCGCTCTTCGAATCACCAATTTGCCAATTTATGTTAATGCATAAATCTAGTTTTTGGTCATTTTCCTCTCCTTAACCCCTCTCCGCCCCCTCCTCAGCTCCATGTCCAGCCAGAATTCTCGAGAGTTTGGGTGGTCCTTCTGACGTGAAAGTAATGTATAAGTGCGGATTGTATTGCAAATTGTTTTACGATTGTAAATTGGCAATTTGGTAATTCAGTGAGTTCTGTAGCTCAGTGGTTAGAGCGCACGCCTTGTAAGCAAGAAACCTGGGTTCGATTCCCGGCCGGCGAAACGTTGGGCAAGTTTCCTTAATCCACACGTCTCTGTTTACCGAGCAGTAATAGGAACCCGGTTGTTAGTCGATTGGCGGATTGCTTTTCCGGGTAATAATTCCTTAAAAGAAAATAATAATTGGTCACATCAATCCACGACTGTTTATGGAACACTGCTATGTGCAATTGCCTGCCACTCTTCACCCACAAGATATACAGTCACTTCACTTTACAGTGTATCCTTTGAAGAGCTTTGAGACGTCTCGAAGACGTGATATGATGTTATATCAAATGCAAGGATTATTATTATTATTCAATCCCAACCAGCGCTATCACGGGATTCAGTCACTAGTCAGTGCTTATTCATTGTATATTGTGTATTCATTGCACATAACACAAAAGAGAAAATGACAGCTATTTTGTGGCAAAGCAGAACTGCCTACTTCTGGTTCACAGTCAATCTCAGATTGCAATCTTTGTCATTTTGTTTCAGTCGTACAGCACACGCCAGGCCACTTGAATATGTTTTTAGTTAAAAGATAAAGCACAGAAAGGCTTTTACGTCATGTAACAATACTGTATTACGTACTTATAACAAGGATTCCGATGTTTGGGTACTGTTAAAAGCCTGACGTGTAATTCCCAGCGGTCTTCAGGGTAATATTGGGAATGCTACTACGTGAGGGGTGCTATATAAATGCAAGTTCTTGTTGTTGTTGTTATTGGCCATTATACCCAGAGAGAGAAACTCCATTCTGTTTTCAAATAGTACTGTGGGATCTTTAATGTCTATGGGGACAGTCACGGCATTCTTTGGTTTAACGTCTAATCCGAAGGACAGCGCCTCTAACACATCACACCCCAGCACTGCATTGCAGTGTCAGCCGCGACTATATGGGTTCCAGGTTCCAATGTGGGGCTTCAACCCACAATCGTCTGATTCAGAGGCAAATGTGCTACAAACTGAGCCATACTGACAATGAGGCAATCAAACTCCACCACAGTTAGCAGTAATTACCCACAAAGATAAGCACAAAATAATTTGTTTCTTCAAGTATGTCAGTATGTTCATGTCAATCAGACAGAGCATCATTGGGCCTGGATAAAAGAGTGGCAATATAAATATAAATTTGCATACGGGGTCTTCTGTGAATCACATGGAAACTACTTTTCAACTTCCACTCTTAATTCTAGATTTTCTGATGTTGATAACTATTCATAACTTATTAAATTACAAAACTTCGCTGCATTTGAAACACAAGAGTTGGAGCTGAACATCAATGCAATGCATTTGCTACCACTATACAGAAGAGTATATTGAGCTCCCAACGTAGAAAAGCTAGAAATATCATGACCACATCATGATAGCACATCACAGCACAGTACGTTCACTTACCCTGTAAAGTTACGTTTAATGTTGTCTCATTGACTCTTAAGGTAATGTTGTTACGAGCCTGACAAGTGTACCTCCCAAGGTCATTCTGGCTTATTTGATGAATGGTGAAATTTGAACTTGTATGTGACAGAACGGTGCCATTAAATATCCATTTATACTGAGCTTCTGGGTTTGACTGAGCAGAACAAGACAATGTTAGAGAGTCTCCAAGTTCTGCTGAGTGTGTCCCAGTGATTGTAAGCTCAGGGGTGTCTGGTCCATCTGCAACAGACGCAAGAACGGCTTTTTTATTACCACTGAATGTAAAGCATAACATTGAAGACTTATTCTGAGAGGTGACTGAGTACTTACACGCAATGCTCAGTGTGTGGCTGCCGGACTGAGAGCTAAAGCTGTTCTTTGCCTCACACCGATACGTTCCACCATCATTTCTAGTCACACTGATGATGGTCAGGGTGGCATTATCCTGGGAGATTGTGATCCTGTCATTGCTGTGGAGAGCTCTCTCATCCTTAAACCACAACCGTGACTCAACAGTGCCTTTAACATCACATGTCAGTGTCACAGTGTCATTGTATTCTATCGGGTTGGGAATGTTCTGTGTTACGGTGACGCTGGTGATATTTTCTGTAAATAGAATGATAATAGAATCATACAATTATAAACCAGTGGTTACGCTGAACTTTTTGACAAAGTTATTCTTTTGGTTTCTGTTTTAATAGTACTGTAGCTCAGTGGTTAGAGCACTCGCCAGAGTGAGAGACCTGGGTTCGATTCCTGGGCAGAGCGAAATGTTGGGCAAGTTTCCTTACTCCACACACACTCACACACCTCTGTTTATCTATCAGTGTGTAGAAACCTGTTTGTTAGTCGATCGGTGGATCAATTTTCCGGGAGTAATAATTCCTTCAAATAATAATACTAATAATTTGGTCACTTCAATCCATGACTGTTTGTGGGACACTGCTGTGCGCATTTCGCCCACAAAATATTCAGTCACCACACTTTACAGTATATTCTGTGAAGCACTTTGAGACGTCTCGAAGACGTGATAAGGCACTGTATCAAATACAAGGATGATTATAGTATCATGATCTGTTTGCCACATACCCAAGGACTGACACAGCGGACCTTTATCAGGAGAATTCTAACCCCATCAGAAGGCATTGCTGGAGTCCATAACACTGTAATCTGCCTCATAGCGCAGTGTGATCAGCAGTGGCTGCTCGTCAGTGATGACATGACGGTGACTGCTTGGATTCCTGAACCACAAACAGCCCAACTTCAGGGTCACCACTTCAGTTTGCATCAGCTGCTGTACATGTTTGTTATGTGCGAAGCCTTCCTTTCTTGTGCTGAAGAAAATCCATGTCTTGGAAGTAAATTCTACATTATAACAGGACCCCCTTAAAGAGAGTTTCATGTTTCCGTGTCATCGTTTTCCTTCATTTGTGTCAGTCCTTTTCACTTTAATAATAATAATAATAGTAATAATCAATAACCACATTCAGCGAACTGACCGTCCCGAATACTGATCCAAGAATAATACTGAAGGAACTAATAGTGACTCAACTCTAAGACTAATAATAATAATCATTGCATTTGATATAGAGCTTTTCACGTCTTCTTGACGTCTCAAAGCTCTTCACAGAATACACTGTAAAGTGAATTGACTGTTTATTTGTGGGCGAAACGAGGCAACCAATTTTGCACAGCAGTGTCCCACAAACATTGAATCACCAAATAATATTTTTTTTTCTTGAGGGATTATTGTCAGGCGTGTGGGGTAAGGACACTTTCACCCTTCCAGGAATCAAACCCCGGTCTCTCACTTGCAAGGCGAGTGCTCTAATCACTGAGCTCCAGGATTCCCTACAGGACTGACCTAAAACTGACCTGTCTCTAATACTGACCAGCGTCCGACCCTTATACTGAACAACATAAGGTTCGGATGAGACATTAAATCCTGCCTTCTGTCCAGATGGACGTTAATAATAATCCTTGCATTTGATATAGCTCCTTATCATGACTTCGAGACGTCTCAGAGCACTGGGCGAAACGTGGCAACCAATTGCGCACAGCAGTGTCCCACAAACAGTCATGGATTGAATGATAAATGTATTATTTGTTTGTGTCCCTGAACAATATAGTGTGTCAGCCCGGCTCAATTAGTGGCACTCTCACACATGAATCAGAAGGTTGTAGTTTCAAGCCATTGTAAGGACAATGTAAGGAATTATTACCCCCAGAAAAGCAATCCGCCAATTGACTAATAACCAGGTTCCTACTTACTGCGAAGGTAAATAGAGGTGTGTGGAGTAACGAAACGTTTCACCTGCCGGGAATCAAACCCCGGTCTCTCACTTGCGAGGTGAGCGCTCTAACCCCTGAGCTACAGGACTCCCACTATTCGAAAATAGAATGGAGTTCCTTCTCCTGGTGTCCTGGCCGACAATCCTACAAATAAAATCAGCCACTCACTCCAAGGCAGTTGGTGGGGAGATTGCTGTGCGCAAAATTGGTTACCGTATTTTCCCAGAAAATACACACAACTATATCACTTCACAGTATCCTATGAAGTGCTTTGATGTGTCGGTGATGTGATAAAAGTGCCATATCAAATGCAAAGATTATTCTCATTATTATAATGAATTACGATCCAAGCCCCTTGATAATTCAGAAGAATGGGTCATGGATTATATTATTTTAAACCACCTCTCTGCCTTCCCTAACCCCTACCCCACCCTATCCCACCCGTCCCCCATGCTCGGGTCCTAACCCCTGACTGTCCAGCGCCTTAGGACGTCCTCACGACATGAAAGGTGCTCTATAAATGTAATTTTTTTGTTGCTGTTTACTTTGAGATAGACCATCGTGGCCTGTTTCAGTCCTGCACATTCTTATGTACATGGAATGATATAAAAAGAGTATTGAAAGGGAGATAAAGAGAGCATGTGGGGTTGATTCACTCCCTTTGGTGATCTAACTTCTTGAGATTTTAAAGTACTGTTAACTATCACATAACATTCTTTCTCCTTAAAAATACCTGTTGAACTGTCTAAATATTCACTTTTGACAGTAAAGTTGCAACTTAGTTGGAAATAAAATGCTACAAACATGGCAGAGACGCAGCACTGCTTATAGTTTTACTGTAAATTAAAAATGGCACAAAATTGTAGGTACGTTTAATGACATAACAGAACAAATTTTACGTCACAAGGTCAATCCGGTGGCCAGGAATCTCTGCACCTGTCATTTTTCATTCATTTTCACAAAATCAAACACAAAACTTACCCATCAACACTCAGGACTGTTAGAAACTGTTAAACAACAACAACTTGGATTTAATGAAGAATAAAATAACACATTTCTCAGCAGCAAATGAACAAGTGATAAACTTACATTTGATATGGAGCCTTTCATGTCAGGAGGAAGTCTCAAAGCGCTTCATACGATTTACTGTGTATTTGTAGGCAAACGCAGCAGCCAAATTGCTGCTGTCCCACAAACAGTCACAAAACTATTTTATTTGAGGGATTGTTGGTCAGGAAATCCACATTAGGATTCCTCTGTTTTCGAATCGTGCAGTGGATGAGCTTAATGTCCACCAAACCATGATGTGGTTTAACATCTCGTCTGAAGGACGGCAGCTCTGAACATAGCAACATAGGAACAGGGATAAGGCATTCAGCCTCTCGAGCCCATCCGCAACAAGAAAATGCCACACTCCCCCGAGCACTGCTTTGGAATGTCATCTTAGACTATGATAGTTCAAGTCCCAACGTGGGCCGAACCAGAATATGGTCATTCACTCCACGGATGTTTGGAGGACATTGCTATGGACACTGTCTGCCACAGTCACACATACACACAGTCACAGCACTTTACAGTAAATCCTATGAAGCGCTTTGAGGTATCTTGACAATGTGATAGTTGCTGTGCCAAAGGCAACGAGATACCAAATGTAAGGATATGATGGATTACATATTACATACCGATGATAATGATTTCTCTTGTGGCTGACCTGTACCTTTGGGTTACACTGTTAAAGGCTGACACGTGTGATTCCCAGCGTTCTTCAGGGTAATATTGGGAATAAGAAGGTCCGAGTCATTTTGTAGAAAAGAGGAAGTATTGAAATACCATTGAAATTCACAAGGTGGGTTTGATTCCGCAGAACACGAGAGATTAACAGTTAATGCTGAACTAATTAATTGACTGATATGTTGGGATATCCTGGTCCATCTAAAAAAGATTCACAGGTTGGTTCAAACACAATCTTTGTGTGAGGTAAGTATCATGAGGTGCAAACAATTCCCACGCAGCCTGGCACGTAGAACTAAAACCGCCGACTGTAAAAAGTAATCCATGGATACTGCTGGATATACCTACCACTGTGAAATGACATCTTAAGTACAAAATATTACGTAAATGATTTGTTTCTTCACACAAGTCCCTGTTATCATTTAATATGTGCAGAACAACAACAGTTTGCACGACATAGCATCTTTTAGGGTGTCAGCCAGCCTGACTGAAATCATTCATTTCATGTATGATGTTCTCATGTGGAAATCTGTAGCTTAGTGTTCAGAGCACTCGCCTTGTAAGCAGAGACCTGGGTTTGATTCCCGGCCGTACGAAACGTTGGGCAAGTTTCCTTACTCCACACATCTCTGTTTACCTCTCAGTAAATAGGAACCCGGTTGTCAGTTGATGGACCGATCGCTTTTCTGGGAGTAGTAATTCCTTCAAAAAAAAGGTCACTTCAATCCATGACTGTTTGTGGGAACCCACTGTGAGCAATTAGCTCTCACGTTTCACCCACAAAATATAGTCAATTCACTTTACAGTATATTCTGTGAAGCGCTTTTAGACATCTCAAAGACATGATAAGGCACTATATCAAATGCAATGATTATTATTATTATGTCTCAGAACATTACAGAGGAGAGGTCAGACACTGAGCAGAGAGGATGTTTATCATTTATTGCCAACCCTCTTTTGATCAAATAAAATCATTAATATTGATATCTATTTCAGCTCTGAAGTCAGAAAAAAGTGGTCAAAGCAGTTAAATGCCTAATGTGAGCACATGTCTTTCACACAAGATGGAAAATTGAGCTTCTTTTATGCAAATCAGTTAACCAGGGTTGGTAATAAATAATAATTAGCAACAAAGAAAATGGAAGCTGTTAATCAGCACTTACAGAAAACATTGAATCACTTGTCTTTCCATTCATTACGTTGAACCCAAAACACATAAATTCTCCTGTGTCAGACCTTAAAATTCCAGGTATAGTGAGGGTTCTATTGCCATCACTTAGCGCAATCCTTGTGTCAACATAGATACCATCATTGTCCTTAAACCACAGATATGAGACGGCAGTGCCCACTGCAGTGCAGGTCAGAGCCACACTGTCATTATGTTCTACCGGAATAGTGACATTGGAGGTAACAACAGCTTCGAAAACAATCGATCAAAACACAGGAGATTGGTTTAACATGAAATATAATAATAGTCCCTACACTGTGACAGGACCTTTCATGTCAGGACGACGTCTCCCAACGTGAAAGGTGCAACACAAATGTAATTTTGTATTGTACAGTGGGATCTTTATGGTCCACCT